GAAGGACACTTCATTCCTTGTAAAGGGAACTGTCCAAGAGGAAGAGATGACAAGCATAAATATCTATGCACCAAACACTAGTGCGCTCAACTATATAAAAGAAAATATAAACGGACATGAAAAATCATATAAGCACTAATACAAAAGTAGTGGGGGACCTCAGTACCCCACTGTCACAAATAGATAGTTCAACTAGACAAAAAATAAGCAATGAAATACTAGAACTCAATCAAACTCTTGAACAAATGAGCTTTACAGATGTTTACAGAGTCTTCCACCCCACAAAATCAGAATATACATTCTTTTCAGCTGCACATGGGTCGTTCTCCAAACTAGACCACATACTTGCTCATAGAACATGTTTAAGTGCAAAGGAATTGAAGTTATCCCCTGTACATTATCAGACCATACTGCAATGAAATTGGAGATCCATAGCAAAAGAAATAGCAATAATTTCATAAACATGGCAATTGAACAATACACTTCTGAATAACCAATGGGTCACAGAGGAAACTAAAGAAATCAGACAATTCCTACAATTAAATGACAATGACAGTACAACGTATTGGAATCCATGGAACACAATGAAAGCTCTCTTACAAGGGAATTTCATAGCAGTGAATAATCACATTAGGAAAACCGAGTAAGCCCAATTAAACAAGCTGATGCTGAACCTCAAGCTTCCAGCAAAAGAGAAGGACAAACCCAAAGCTCATACAATGGAGAAAATTATAAAGATCAGAGCAGAAATCAATGCAGTGGAGCCCAAGAATGATACAAAAAAATCAGTGAAGCCAAGAGTTGGTTCTTCGAAAAAATAAAATTGGCAAACCCTTAGCCAACCTTATCAGAAAAAAGAAAAGGCCCAGTTCCATGGAATGAGGAATGAAAAGGGTGAAATTACAATAGACCCAGCAGAAATCCAGAGGATCATCAATACATACTTCAAGAACCTATACGCCAATAATATGGAAAACAGAGAAGAAATGGACAGATTCCTAGATACGTATGAATTACCAAAGTTGAACAGACCTAAAAATTCTAAACGACCCAATATCAATCAATGAAATTGAAAATGTAGTTAAAAACTTACCAACTAAAAAAAGCCCAGGTCCTGATGGCTTCACTGCTGAATTCTAAAAGACATTTAGAGAGGAGCTACTGCCACTACTATTTAAACTCTTCAATGGAATTGAAAGGGAAGCAATACTCCTGAACTCATTCCTGGAAGTAAGCATCACCTTGGTCCCCAAAGCAGAGAAAGACCCAACCAAAAAAGAGAACTATAGGCCCATCTCACTAATGAACATAGATGCAAAAATCCTTAATAACATACTGGCAAATAGAATGCAGAAGACCACCAAGAAGATCATACACCCTGACCAAGTGGGATTCATCCCAGGGATGCAGGGATGATTCAACATACACAAATCAATCAATGTAATACACTGTATCAATAGAGCCAAATTCAATTCCCAATACCAAAAAAAAAAATCAATAGAGCCAAAGACAAAAACCATATGAACATCTCAATAAATGCGGAAAAAACATTCGACAAAATACAACACCCATTCATTGTAAAAATCCTACAAAGAATTGGAATAGACAGTCTCTATCTCAATGTGATAAAAACCATCTATGAAAAACCAATAGCCAGTATCATACTAAATGGTCAAAAGCTGGAATCCTTCACACTCAAATCAGGAACAAGACAAGGATGCCCACTATCACCACTCCTGTTTATTATAGTTTTGGAAACATTAGCCATGGCACTTAAATGAGAGAAAGAAATAAAAGGAATAAAGATAGGAAGTGAAGAAGTCAAATTGTCATTATTTGCAGATGACATGATACTCTATATAGAAGACCCCAAGAACGCCACCAAAAGTCTTCTAGACTTAATAACCAAATTCAGTAAAGTAGCTGTATACAAGGTCAACACACAGAAATCAATAGCTTTTCTCTACATGAACAACAGGCTCACTGAGACAAAAATAGGGCAAACAATTCCTTTCACAATAGCATGCAAAAAACTGAATTACTGAGGAATCAACCTAACACAAGAAATTAAAGCCCTCTTTTCTGAAAACTCTGAAAAGAGAGGTTGAAAATGGTATCAGAAAATGGAAAGACAACCTTTGCTCCTGGGTAGGAAGAATCAACATAGTGAAAATGGCCATACTTCCAAAGCTGCTATATAGATTCAGTGCAATCCCAATTGAATTCCCAAAAGCATACTTCATGGGCCTTGAGAAAACAATTCAAAAATTCATTTGGAATAAGAAAAGACCCAGAATAGCAAAAGTAATTCTAGGCAACAGAGACATGGCAGGGGTATCACAATCCCCAACTTGAAACTGTACTACTAAGCTGCTGTGATAAAAACAGCATGAGACTGGCAAAGAAACAGGCCTGAGGACCAGTTGGACAGATTAGAAGATGCACAAACATCTCCAGTCACACTCAGCCATGTCGTGTTCAACAATGGAGCCAAATACCCTCACTGGAGGAAAGATAGCCTCTTTAATAAATGATGCTGGAAAAATGGGGTTTCAGCTTGCCAAAGATTAAAACTAGACCTATATCTCTCACCATGCACTAAACTAAAATTGAAATGGATTAAAGATCTAAATATTAAAACAGAAAGGCTGAACCAGCTGAATCAGAGGTTAGGTAGAACTCTTGAAGACATTGGTGTAGGAAAAGATTTTATGAACAGAACCTCAGTTGCCCATGAACTAGCACAACCAATCAACAAGTGGGATCTCTTCTGACTAAAAAGCTCTGCACAGCAAGAAAAAACACCAGCAGTGTGAAGAGACAACCCACAATGTGGGAAAAATTTTTCACCTGCTGTTCCTCAGACAGAGGTCTATCTGGAATCTATAAAGAACTTTAAAAAATCAGACCTCCCACATTTAAAGACCCAATCCAAAAATGGGCATCTGAAATGAACAGACACTTCTCAGACAAAGAATTAGAAATAGAAAATAAACATGAAAAATGTTCAACATCACTGGTCATTGGAGACATGCAAATGAAAATAACGCTGAGATTCTACCCCACCCCAGAAAGAATGGCTGTTTTCATGAAATGAACCAATAACAAATGCTGGTGGGGCTGTGGGGAAAGAAGAACACTGCTCCACTACTGTTGGGAGTGTCAACTGGTGCAACCACTGTGGAAATCAGTATGGAGATACCTCAAAGAACTAGGACTGGAAGTCCCATTTGACCCAGGTATTCCCCTGCTCGGTATCTTCCCCAAAGAATTAAAAGAATCATACCATAGTGATATATGTGCACCCATGTTCATAGCAGCACAGTTTGTAATAGCTAAAACTTTGAAACAGCCCAAATACCCATCAACTGGAGACTGGATAAAGAAAATGTGATGTTTTAAAAAAATAATATGGAGTATTAGCCATAAGAAATGAGAAATTAGAGACATTTACAACTAAATGGATGCATACTGAGGCCATACTCTTAAGTGAAATAAACAGGACACACGTGTAAATACTGAATAGTTTCTCTGGTGTGAGAAACAAAGTTTAAATAAGGACTAAAATGTATAATAGATAATGTGAAATAGGAAGAAAAGGAGCAAAGTGGAAGTGGGTAGAGTGGGGGAAAGGAAAAAAGGAAATGGAATTAATATGAGAAAATGAAAAAATGGAAACAAATTCTTTGTAAATAGGGAGGTATGGGGGGGTTAAAGGGAGGGCAGGGAATGGGGAAAAAATAACCACAAGAGATTATGTAAATGTGCAAATTTCTAATGATGAATGTCATCATATTGTATACCTAAAATGTACCAATAAAATTAATTTTAAAAAATAAAAATCTTTTAAGTTAGACAGCATGGATCTGTCTAATATATTTTGTTCTAGTTATCCCTGCCACAGTAGAACAGCCACTGTTCCACTCAAAGGCTCAGTGTCATGGGTTAACTGTTGTACCTCCCATATCAATCAGACTCATACATTCTGTGTAATTTTCAGAATGCTCTCATGTACTGTTAAATTACAGTGGATTCTTTCCAGTTACTTCTCTTGAAATTAATCATCATTTCGGACAGCCTAGCCTGTGGAGGCTTGGTGCATATACTCATAAAATAATGCAATCCAGCTATAGCCTTAAAGACCTGAGTCACGTGGGAGCTGCTAGCCACTGGGGACATGCTTGTGTGGAGACACCCTATATTTTCCTTAGTGGGTCCATTAATGTTACCAATAACACTGATGATACTTTTAATGTTACCTGTACCAACTGTGACCTTACCAACTGTGCTACTTGTCTCAATACACTGCCCATTCTTGTGTTGTATCATCCCTCTTTTGTCATGATTCCCACTGATCTTTCTGGATCCTGGTATAATGACAGAGGGCTCCAAGTACTAAAAGAGATAGAAAATCAATTGAGCCATCCCTGACAGATAGTTTACCTCATCATCCTGGGTATTGTGACTCTGATCACTCTTCTTGCCTCCACCATGGTTTGCCTCTGTGGCTTTGGCCAAAACCATCCACTCATTTTGTCAACCATCTGACCAAAAAAATACCTCCTATGCCTTAGAAACTCAGGAGGATGTTGACTCCAAGATTCAGATTCAACTTGAAGCACTTGAGGCAGCCGTTCTCAAGTTAGGAACACAAGTTAAAGCCCTTTAATTCCATCAAGGGCTTCACTGACATGCTGAATTTAAACCCATTTGTATTACAGCTCTAAAATATAATGGGACAACATGGCCCTAGGGAACAGGTTACTGCTCATCTCATGAGTATCTTCTTCCACTAGGCCAACTTCAATCTGGATTTTAAAAATGTACACAAGTTCTAGGCATACAACATGCACAGGTTCAGAGTCTTGCCCCAGATCAAGCTGCTTCAGCAGTGCTGGACCTCCTCAATGGGTTCAGTCCTTCCAGTATTGGCAGGGACACCGTGGTTGCCATGTTTGCACTCTTAATTGTCCTGATTATACTGATTGTCTTGATTCTAGTCTGCTGCTGAATGTTCCAGCACCAACTGCTCCACCTTGCCTTGGAACAACATTGGAATCACCTCAAGTCACAAACAAGAAAAGGGAGAGATGCCACGAGCCGAGCCTGAAGATGGTCCTTCATCTCTTTCCTGCTCCCTTTCTTCTCCCTGCTTACTTTCTCCTCCATAGATTATTGTAGACCCTGGATGGTGTAGCCCCAGGAGACAGTTACATTGTATCCTTCCCTGTTCCCTTCCTGCATGTGCCCCAATCACAAAACACTCTACGTTCTGCGTTGGCCACATAGGGTATGAAGCACTATTTGCCCCACCTTCTCTTCCTGTTTGCTTTCCACTATAAATAAAGAGCTCATGGTGCTCCAGGTGTCCATTAGCTCCTGACAAGCTATGGTTCCATGTGGTCACAGCTTTCAAGAGTAATCTTGGTCTCATCATCTTTTCTTCATCTCCCACCACTCTTCCTGGCTTAGGACCCTATGCTGTGCAGGTCACACCAGGCCTAATGCAGTCTCATGCCCAGTGTTCAGTCTTAATGCACTTGAGATAGGAACTCTTTCTCAATTGACCCTATGTTTTCCCTTAGACAACCTGGGTGAATTTAAAGCATTGCCAGTTGCAACAGCTATAATCTTAGTCTTTCATTTTTTGTCTCCCTTCTGCATCCTGATTGTTAAATGCAGAAAAGGCCATAACTAGCAGTTAGCTATAGGTGTTGGTGGACCCATCTGAACGTTTTGTAATTTACACCAAATATCTGGGGCTGATTGACAAATGAAATGAAGTCCCACTAATGCTTGCGCCTCCCTAGAAGATGGATCTATATTTATGAAGGACTTTTAATCAATGATGGAAGACAGTTGGATTTTCCCCTGTATGACCCTGTTCACCTTAAAATTAAAAGATTTTTAAGTGTACCTTTTCATCCTCATGGTAAGAGCAGCTAACATATTGGACACCATTTTTAGTCCATCACTAGTATTATAGTCCCAATTTCTGTTGAAGGAAGAATAGCCTCTCTGTGGTGGTTTGCTTCTGTTTTTAAAGCATATTACTCACCTGCAGAGATCCTAACCTCTTATAGGCTTCTTTGTCTTTCATATGGGGTACAGCAAGTGGCCAAGTGAATTGGACATCTCTCCATAAGTCAAAAGCAAGGATCTAAGTTTGAAACCCATCTACAAACTTACTAGAATTCTCTGACAGTTGGGGTAGTTGTTCTTTACAATGCTGGATATCTCCAACTGAAAAAGGGACCTGAACTCCAGTATTCTTTTCCATCTCTGGGGCCACTCTTACGGGCAGGATATTTTGTGAATTTTTTTTTTTAGATAGGATCTTACTTTGTAGTTCAGGCTTTCCTTGAACTCACTTTGTAGAGTGGGTTGTGATACAGGTAATGATACCCACCATGTGTTGCCAGTCAAGGCAAGTGTGGCACCAGAGCAGATGGGTGCTCTGGGCTGACAGCACAAACAGGAAGATAGCAAAATAGGAAGATTTCGGTGGTGATTAAATGGCTGCTGTGTTTTATAATCTTATCAGACCTGTTCTGTTAAAAGTTGTTCTTCCTACACATCCTGGCTGTGATTGACAGGTCACATCCTATTGTTTAGCCTCAGTTCCAGGTCTTTGTAATTGACAGATTACATCCTATCTTCCAGCCAGCCTGCCATTCCCTAATCTTCTGCCTCAGGGTGAGCTTTCATCTCTTTTCAAAGTTGTGAGCTTTGAAGAAGTTAGCCAAGCAGCTTTCTTTACCCCCACTCTGAACTGCTGGTTGGAAGACTTCCTTTTCCAATCTGTCTTTATGGAGATACCAGAATCCCCCATACCAGTAATTGGAAGAGATATACTCTTCCTACTCAGGGCCACTCTGACATTCAGTCCTCCGGCAACCTGTGCCCTAGTTCCTAGGGACCTGGTCAATCTAACCCATGGTTGCCAGATGCCTCTGCCAGGAGTTGATCCTTAAGTATGGTATTGTTGTTGGACAGGGTGTTGTCCAGTGGTTCCAAGCTCTTTTTGTCCCATCCAAAGAATTGGCTGGGATAGTCAATAAACTTAAAAATGTAACATTTATTTAAAGTAGAAGAAGAGGGTCGGGGTTTTAGCTCAGTGGTTCCATCACCTGCCTTGCAAGCGCAAGGTCCCGAGTTCGATCCCCAGTACCAAAAATAAAGTAGAAGAAGATAAAGAAGTGAAGTACAAAAAGAAGAAAGGTGGACATATGTGTTACATGAAGGACACACCACTGCAAGACAGGAGAGTAGCCATGACCCTGAAGCCAGTGGTCACCATATTTTATATCTTTCCTTGATATCAGATGTGAACCATTGGGAGTTGTTCTGTGCATGTATTCTGGCTGTGACTTAACCATTTTCCATTACTGACAGGTCATACCCTATTGTCTAGCCTCTTCCCATTCCCTAATCTCCTTTCTCAGCATGACAGCACCCTGGGGAGGGCTGTCAATGCCACTCTAGTGGTCATTCAGCTAAAGGACCCTAGTCAGTACTCTCACAGAAGACAATATTGTTATAGGATTCTCACACAGAGAGACAGGACACTGAAGCTTTTTCCAGGAAGCAGCTTTATTTGTGCCAGCACTGAGTCAGCAGATTCACATCCAAAGGCTGAGTCCTGAGCATAGTAGGGTTTTACCTTTTATACAATTTTTGTTTCTGTTTCCCTTACATGGTCACATACTACAGCCTGATTGCATACAGTTTATGTTACAGAGCTGTGTCAGAACTACATGCCACACTGCCTTCCTTTGTCCTGGAAGGTCCTTCCTTTGGGATGGGCCCTACCATATCCCCCCTTTTGATGCTCAGATCCTTTATCCCTTCTTAGAGTTGAAGGGCATCATCTTGGTTTAGGACTTTATACTTCCATGACATCACTACACGTGTGGCTGTTTTTATTTCAATCATGGCCTCAGGCTGGAGACAGACTGTATAATCAAGGGAGATAGGCAAGGTAGGATTAAATAGGCTCCCAAAATCAAGAGTATAATACTTGAGAATTTTTTAATCCTCCAAGAGTTGAAAATCGTCCTCTAAACAACTCCCCAGGGTCCCAGCCTTTCCAGATGTGAACTGGGACATGAGAAATTTTTCTCATTTGATCTGTGATCTCCTTTGTAACTTCCCCTTCATTATCCATCTGTAGGCAGCAGCTACTCAGGTTAAACTTTCCATAAACTCCTCCCTCAGAAGCAAGTAATCTAAGGCCAAGCATTTTTGATTGATAGCATTATGCGTTTTGGTTTGCTGCTTGTCTAGCAAGTTAAAAGCTTTGGCAGTTTCATTAGTTATAATTTCCATAACTGCTTGTAGTCTAGTTATGCAGTTTAACATGTAAATGGGAGCACAGTAGCCTCTGCCCAAGTGACAGGGCCATAATATTGGACTATATTCTCAGGAGGCCATTCATTTTTCCAATTGCCAATTTATAGGGCATGTCATTTCCTTTGAGTCTCCCTGTCCTGGTACACTTGGACTCCCAAGTGTTCCCCTCTGGCAAGTGGGAGAAGGAGGAAATATGGATGAATAGTTCCCAGCACACATGACCCTAACCAGCCTGGGGGAAGTATGGTATAGGCTGCCTTTCCACATATCCAGTATAGTCCACCTGGGGCCTGCCATTCAATGGCTGTGCCAACATTGTCTGAAGCCTCCTAGAGATGAGAGAAGTTGGACAAGGGTTAGAAATCTGGTTCAAGGTGATATGGGGACTCCCACCATTGAGTCTCCTGGGAAGTTGAATTGTAAAATCTTTGGCACATTAGACTTCAAACAGAGACATTGAACCTTTCCTCCTCTCCAGGCACAGCAGTTTTTCCCCAAAATTAAAGCCAACTACTAAATTAAAGTCTAGTCTACTAGTAGGACTAGGTTACCCTGTTCCATTATAAGGTTCTCAGGGATCTAATTCTCTAGTCTGCCATGGCCATTGATCTCCCATGTTGGTTCCCCCTCATACATAACAAGAAGAGATTTTTAGAGTCTGAGCTGTAGTTCCTTCTAGGACTACAAACAAGTTTCTAGTGGCTAAGATGGGAGGTGAGCTACTTTCTGTTTTCCTCATAAAAAGAATGAAATACCTGATAAAATGTGGCCATATGGGCAGTAATGGCCCTTTTAAAATATAGTAGGGATTCAGGGCCTGTATGGATGAGTACACCAACCTTGTGCCCCTTTCTTCATTTGGGATCCTCCAAGTTAAAGATGGTAAAATTAATGTTTGTATGTTCCTTATTTACAGTTGGGGTTGGCCAATCCCTTTTGGAGGAGTGCTGCTTCATTTTTGTCCTTCCAGATGGCCCATGAGCTGCAACTCCAATAAGGGCAATAAAGCCAGTCTTTGGTATCACATCCACACACAACCAAAGATTCCTCACATATATACTTATCACTGAATGTGCTTTTCTGTTCCCATTACAGACCCCTACCTGGCTCCTCAGTTGATCAGATATTGCCTATGGCTCCACATACATCAAAGAGTATTCACACTGGCTGGTTGGGATTGGTAATCTCGGTTCAATTAATCAGCTTCTCCCCTTCCTTGGAGTATCACATTTCTAACCATTCCTTACTGGGGGAGTAGTGTGGGTCAAAACAAGTATATTATTGAATCCCCTGTTGGCACATAGAATAGATTGTCTTATTATGTGTACAGGTTCCCTGAACCTTCCCTTTGCATAAGAAATGGGTGTGATGGAGTAAAGTTCAAGTAACTCCCTGACCTGATCTGATTATGCAAATACATGAGACACATGATATTGACCTCAGGTCCACCAAAGGGGCCCCTAGAAAAAACAGCCAGTACCAAAACAACACCTTACCTACAAGAGAAAGGTGAGGGCTAGCAGGCACCTTTCACCATATTTCCAGTTTGCTGGGGTGGTCTCTGCAAGGGCTATGGTGAAAATTAGGGTGAGGGACCCATGTGCAGTTAACAACAAGGAATAAGTACATAACAGATGGGCCAACCACAAAAAGATGCAGTCCATTCATGTCACCAGTTGGTGGCATCCTCAGGCTTCTGCTGTGCATAGACTAGTCATCCTTCTGAGTGACTAGAGCAGGGCTGCTGCTGTCTCCTGATGGTGTCTCTGTGGTTGTGGCCAGCTTCTTCTGAATCATCAGCTTACATGGCCTTGATGGATTGGGGATATGCTCCCAGTCTTGGGATGCTGACTTCACTCTGCTATGTTGAATCCAGGGGACTATCCTGGCCAATTTTACTGCAGTGAGGGTCAATAGGATAATACTGAGTGGGCCCCTCCGGATGGGGTTTTAGAGGCTGGACATTGCATTTCATTACCCACACAAAATCCCCTGGCTTAATGGAGTAAGCATCTGTGGTCTGACTCATGGTTAATTTTTCCTTAATCCATTGGTGTTGAATGGCTAAGATTGAGACTAACACCTGCATCTGTTGCCTCAGGGTGAGATTTCCAAGCTCCTTTAAGTCCTCCCTCAGTGCCTTAATAAGAGGACGGGGCCATACATAATTTCATAGGGGGGAAACCTTGTCTGTTTAGTGGGTCTAGACCTAATCCTCAGCAGGGCTATTGACAAGAGTTGGTTACAGAGCAAGTGAATCTCCTGATACAGTTTGCTTAGCTGTAGCTTTACAGTCTGGTTCATTCGTTCCACCTTTGCTGAGCTCTGGGGATGGTATGCCATATTTAGTTTCCAGGTAATCTTCAGTCCTTTGGCCACCAGTTTCACTACCTCTATAATGAACACTGGCCCATTGTCTGGTCCTATGGTAATAGGCATTCCAAAATGGGAGAATGATTTCTTTCAAAAGGAATCTGGCCATCTCAGATGCCTTTTCCATATGGGTGGGGAAGGCCTCTACTGAGCCTCAGAAGGTGCACATAAAGACTAACAAATACTTTTAG